ATAGAACGTAACATTCCAAAGTTTACAGGTGTGAAAAGTAAACCAACTCGAGGAGGAATACTGTAGCAGAGAATTTCTTATTTCAGTGGAATTCAAATAAATATCCAGTTGCACTCGCTCATGGGTCGAAAATTAACTGTATGATGTTACAAGTCGAAGACGAAACAGCAAATCAAGAATATAATCCAGGAAAGACCACACCCATGTAGACATGAATTGTTTCAGTATAACCATACTGAACATTAATTCCCTCTCATTTATCGTATAACCTGCATAAATGGATAAAAGAAACATATTAATTACACTTATAATTAAGAAACACAAATAAATACGCACCAAAAAGCAAGTAAAGTAGCTGAATTAAAAAATAAACAAACAACTTTAGGCAATTTTACATCACAATCATAGATCACAACATAGATTAACGTCAAATAACACGACGTCAATTTACGACATAGACAACAGCAAAAGGTTAAAAAGAAAATCCATGGATACATAAACTTCATAGATAGATAAACTTCATAGATACATAAACCCATAGATAGATAAACTCTATAGATACATCAATGATAAATATTAATTTATTCTGTGGAAAATAAAAACTGTCAAGTGATATTGATGCACAATAACCTCAATTTATACTGTTGACAATAGCAAATTGTTAACAGAAATTTCAGAACAGATTAATAAAGATTAATTAATATTGATCAAGTTATGTATTCTCACCTTAATTAATTGTAGAAAGTGGCGTTCTAAAGTCTACCAGTGTGATGAGCAAATCAACCAAATCTAGGAGGGATACTACTGCAGATAATTTCTTGTTTCGGTTGCATCCAAATTAGTTAATTTCCAATTGCCTCCCATTGTTACGGCAAAAATTAACTGCATAATGTTGCAAGGTGAAGACGTCAAAAGCATCAGTTGTTTTAGTAGCACCAAAATTAACTGCAATTCGTTCTCATTTGTGGGACAGCAATCTACATAGAAACAGGCAAGAAAAAGTAATTAATTACCATTTTTAAATCGAATAAATCAGTAACATGCACACTAATGGAAAGATCTGTTCCACATTAATTCTGCTTCTGCCATTTCTGAAACGTTGTTTAAAAGTTGTCTACTGAAGCAAATTACAAATGTCTAAGAAATTGAAGTTATCTAAAGATATCATTTACTATTTTTAACTGATACTGTTACATACCACTTCATTGTCATAAATCCTTTTTCAGCACACTGTCTTCGTTCCCCATGAAAAAAAGGCAGTTTCATGCTTTCTTATGAACCATGGGCATAGCTACTTTGCAGGGCAAATGAGAACTAATTCAACCAATGCTCCATAATTTCATAATTTAAAGGTATCCAGAGTTCTCCTAATGTTCCTGTTAAATGAAATCTTATGAAAAAGTGTTCAGATATAATTAATTAAGTATTAAGTAAATAATGTGCACGATACATTGTTAAAGTAATGCTGAATCTTTTTCTTTGTTAATATCAAACAAATACACTACATATAGAAAGTATAGTATGCATGCTCACCTTAATTAACTACAAGAGCCTCCAAGATGAAAGGTTAACAGCTAAAACACCATAAAAGACGACTTATCTTTTCAGTAAGCAACGATATCAGTTCCAATCTCTCTTAATTGTTGGCCAATCTGTGTAAACGGACAAAAACAATTATTAACTGATTAATTTCATACATATCTGTTACCCAAAAAATTTAATCCTTTTCACTTTTCTCCCTTACTCTCAAATCAAAATCAAAATATATGCGGAAAATTGATAAAAAAAAAGAATTAAACACTCGTATTAAACAAATGAAACATAAACGAATAAAATAACAAAACATTAAAAAGGGCGACGTGGCCACCTGATGTCTCCGTCAAGATATAAACTTTAAAAGTTTTATCAATTTAATTTATGCTGTGGGCAAATACGAAGAATAATAATAGAATATGAATCAATCAAACCAAACAACTATTTCAACTACTGGGTCATCTTTGTCTTCTCCAACGTCGATCTGAAACAGATACGGTGGCAAACAGATCAATAAAGAGCAATTAAAATTAATTATATCAAGTATCCTCACCTTAATTAATTATAGAACGTAACACTCCAAAGTTTACAGGTGTGAAAAGTAAACCAACTCAAGGAGGAATACTGNCCGAATTATTAATAACCTTGATGTATGTTAATTATTCAGAATTTTAAGCTTTTATAAAATTATTAGGTAACTAACTAACTACAATTTGTAGTTATTTTGTACCAAAAGATGACATAATGTGTACTTTGTATACGTATACATAATGCAGTCAATTAATTGCATTCTGTTGTTTAAAGAAAACCAAAAGATGACATAGATGATATGGACTATTGCTCATATCACAAAAGAAAAAAAAAACACTTAGAATTTATTATTCATCTTATACTTTAAACAAATGAAATTAATTAAGAAACTATGTAATTGCATTATAATATTTTAGAAGTATTCAAATTAAAAATTTTGTCAATTTAATTCATGCTGTGGGTATTTTAAAAAAAAAATTGCCTGCAATTAAAGTTTTTCTAGAATATTAACAAACGTTTCTGTGGTTCTTATGCCCGAATTATTAATAATCTTGATGTATAATATACGATACACAATGTTAAAATCTGTCGATTTCAATTGTTCAAAATTTTAAGCTTTTATAAAGTTATTAGGTAACTAACTAACTACAATTTGTAGTTATTTTGTACCAAAATATGATATAATATGTACTTTGTATACGTATACATAATGCAGAGTCAATTATTTCTATTCAGGTGTTTAAAGAAAACCAAAAGATGACATACATGGTATAGACTATTGCTCATATCAAAAAAAAAAAAAAACAGAATGTAACATTAATCTTATACAGGAACATAATCATAAGTTTTAGTTTTAAATCTGTTGTGATAAACATGACAAGCATCTTTTGTTGGTATAAGGGTGGGAAATTTTCGATTTCATTTGAGATAATTCAAAATAACAACTAATTTTTTCATTTTTGTGCCAAAGAAGGTGCATGCCTTTTTTACAACGGTTTTTCATTTCCTTTGTATGCAATTTCAAAATACGGATATTTTTAAAAATACAATTCTTTTTGGAAACGTAGAAATAAATTATAGACTTCAGATGCCCACGAAATAAGCAACTGTTACGAGTTTATCAATCTCTCATCACAACTTTTTCAAATAAAACCAACACTTTCTTGTACGCATTTTTAACTATCATTATCAGGAATCGTATAAAAAGTTGAAATGTACAGGACACAAGGTAAAAATGCTCACGTTAAAGAAATATACAAAACAAACCACTTGCATTAGCAGCGTTGTGTTGTAAAATCTTATTTATTTTCATAGATTGCTTATGTATCATATAAATTTAGGTTGTTTTACTTAAATCCAAAAATTTAGCTGCTTACAAATTTCGACTCGCACTGTAACATCTTTATTTTTATTTATACTACAGCGCACTCTTTAATTTCGCGGGAACGTACCATCATAACATGGATTTAAAATGAATTTAGTTTTAAATTTTAAATATCTTGTCTTTGATATAGGCAACCCACTTTACTGCAAAGTATTCTGAACGTCAAGCTGCAGTAGTATTTCTGAATTCCTTTACTTATTTGTTAATCAAATTGACAACAGATTAATAAAGTGTAATTAATATTAATTTAACTATGTATTATTACCTGAANTATTACCTGAATTAGCTGTAGAATGTAATGTTTCAACGTTTACATGTGTGGAATGAAAACCAAATTCAGAAAGGATACCCATGCAGACATCCCATGTAGTCATCGTTAGGGTTAAAATTAACTTTCCAATCTCCCCCATTTGTTAACCAATCTGTAGAAAGAAACGAAAAAAATATTAACTACTTTTAACCAATAATATTTTGAAAGTGACTGCTAAAATAATAAACACACAATGTACCTTTAGTAATAAGCCAAATAAACAACTGTTATGATATTTCATCCTTATCACATTTCTTCTGACTATTAAATTAAAGTCAAAAATAAAAATACAGTCAGTTCATACTGCAGTTTAAAAAAGATTAAATGGTTTATCCCTTGTATTAAGCTAACATTCACACATTCTGCATCCGACATTTCTGGAATGTTGTTTAAAATCTCTCTATTGAAAGTGTTACAAATGTATAACTACTATTTTTAATTGATACTGTTACTTACCAATCCGTCTCATAGTTTCATAAATCTTTCCTTTAGCAATAACACACTGTTTCTGTTCCAAATGTAAAAAAGGCACCTTCACGCTCTCCTCAGGACTTCAGGTACTTCTACTACCTAGAGTGAATGAGGAACCAATGTCGCATAATACATGGCATCCCGAGTACTCTTGACTGTGTTAACTTCTGTGTAGTATACCATTCATGTTGATAATTCATTTCCACAAATGAACAAGTAATGTCTTTGTTGTGGCAAAAAGGCACTTTTAGAATTTCTTGGGATACTCCTACTTTCTGGAGAAGAGGACTCCTACAATCAATGGTATCATATTTGCAGGTAATAATGCAGGTAGAATTTCACCATTGCACACCATCCTATCCCATCTGTAGATATTCCGGCAGTATCAGAATAAACTTAACTTATCGGGTAATCTCTATAATAGAACGAGAAAAAACAAATTAATCATACTATTAAATGAACGAGCATAAAATCAAATTGAAATGCAGCCAAGAGCAAATAAAAGAACACAATTTTAAAATATAGGTTCTTAAATGCCATAATAAATACTAACCAAAACAAATCGAAAGCCATAGATACACAAGTATCACAGAGCAAAGGAAAAATAATAATACTAATTGGAAAAGAAAAATTGTTGTATATGCAACCATATAAGCACTAGTGTAAATCAGTTTGCATATAGTATTTCGTCAGAAATTATTTCTCCAAATAAACATAAAAATTTACAATTAAGTAATTTAAAAAAAAATGACATCACAAATGAAGTTATCAAATATTATTAGTAACGAATCCTTTGATATAATTATTTCGAAAATCAACATAGAAACTTCATTGATGTAGAACTCTGAAACTTTTCATTAACTAGTAGACATGACCTGTCTAGGAATTTACGATAATTAGGATCATAGTTTTTTAGCTCAGTACTAAATTATTTTAGAGGTGAAGAATAATAATATAATAATGTAAATGCATTATGTAACTACTTCTCAATTAATTCATTCTTTTTAATATATAATAATCGTAAAAGAATATTCTGTAATTTACTAGACTTCTAAAACAACAAAAGTGCCTAATACTATCAATTTTTGAAAAATAGAATGTGAAATTTTAATACTTTTTACTTGTTGAAAGTATTTTTATAACTTAACATTAGCTATATATGAAATTGGTTTTTTACTGTTAGAGATTGGAAAAAATTATATAGAATTTAATTGCTTTGGATAATCAAAATATTGTCGAAATAATTTTCTTATGAATAGTGAAAATGCCAATACTGTATTAAAATGCATATACTTAATAGATTGTTTTCTTTTACTAATTTCTATATTACCCCCTATTATGTATACGGTAGATTAGAAGAGGATTAATGAATTAATGGCGTAGACATTTGCTACATTTATTCAACAATTTAATGCACTGTAATACTAGTAAGATTATAGGATGAACATGCTTCAACATATAGGCATTTATTTCTATATTTGGCTTGAATTATTTTAAATTCAGTGAGCCAGTTGAAATCTTCAAATATGTATGTTACAAGAAGATTCGGAATTAACAGTATGTACATACAAATAGCAAAGGTGTTTAACAAATTTATAAAATGTTCACAATTAACGAAAATTAATGTATGTTGGGCAATATTCATGAGGGTATTTTTACAGTGACTTTAGTGGAGTAATTATAGCCTTACACTTGTCCACGATACATATTACTTCATCTTAAATATTATAAGTTATTAATTTATATCACAAAAAAACGGCAAGTTACCTTTCGAAAACTAAAGGATTATATGACTAGACAACAAACATATTTCCTTTCTTGTAACATATAAGATAAGATACATATTAGATAGCTTAGCTTACAATTTACTTAACAAGTATCGGAATGGCAGGGAGAAGAAGGGAATCATAGAGAAAATAGTTTTCAGGTTTTCCTCGGTTAAGTCTCAAAACTTGTTGTAAATAAATCGTAGTTAAATGAATAAGAAATTGAAATTTTGAATTGCTTGTTTGGAAAGAAAGCATTCAGCTTAATATAGAAACGTTTGGTAAATACTTTTTTTATCATAATTATGTACATTTGGCTAATGAAGTGCAGTTACACAAGTAACATAAGTATGTTTACGTACCGGAATGCTTTATTTAAAAAGTGGGTTATTTAACATCACCATTTTCTTCTAGCATTTCTTCTATCTCCTGTTCCCAGTTGTCGTTCTTAGAATTTGCTGATTTATTTTCACTTACTACTTCATAATCCTGTAATTCAGCTTCCAGTTCTTTTTCCCAATCTTCTTCTAATAGAATATATGAAAAAGAAACAAAAACCAAACATAACAGTAATATGTAAAGTTCTACGTGATACGTACACTTAAACTAGATGCTCAGTGTTAGCTTCCTGTTCGTAAAATAATTAATAGCCGAAAATATTGTAAATAATGGAATATTTAAAATTTCTAATAACTTGGTGGTAAGTTTTGTAAAACAAAATCTGAGCATCCAGTTTGATTAAAACGTTTCAAAATTATGGCGTTGATATTTATGTACATCATAAGTAAAAATTTCAGGAAACATTTTGTACAATTCATACATTCCATGTAAAAAAAAACATTTAATTAGTATTTTTAGAAGATAGTATCTCAAGAGGATTTTTTTTCTATAGCACCACAATGTGTACATGTTCAAATATTTATTCAATTGTTAAGAATGTTACTATTGGTGTTTCGTGTAAATATTCAAAATCACTGTAAAACTCCTTATACAACTTTCTCAACTTTTATATTTTGCAAACTATTGCCAACAACATTCTTAAAGGTACATTTTAAAATTTTGTAAACGCTTCAAGAGTATCAGACAGTTGAGTTAAACTATACAGATAAACAAACGTAAGTGTCCAGGATATGGCAGCAAATATCTCCATCAATTTCATTTTTCCAAACATAACAACAGTAATCCTGGACGTTTTCAATCTAATTTAATACGAATACCATTTAAGCATAGTATGCCAGAATACTTAACCACTTGCAAGTAAAATCAATTATAAAGATATTGTCATTTGAACATCGATTCACCTTGTTCATGAACTTTCACATTTTTACATGTATATTAACACAAAATACTGTTCACATTTTAAGTACAACATTTAGAGGATCTAATAAAAAGATTACAGCTTTGCTCCTTATTTTTATTTACCTCTTATTAAGAAAAAAAAAGCACTTGCCACTTCGTGTTTATAAAGGGCAAGGTGGTAACAATTTGTGTATTTATATGCAAAATACCTATTCAAGATTAATTTCATGTGATAATGTGCAAGTAAAAACCACATGTAAATATGCATATTAAATAATTAAATTAATATGAAATATTAAAGTTACAAGAAAACAGAGCGCCGTTAGCTTACACGTATTTCGTTGGGACTTACTTTGAAATCAAATTTTCTTTTGTGAAATACAGTTAAAATGCTTCTTAATAATTTTTTATTTAAATAAGTGATTGTTATGATAGATGTACATAAACATTTTCAAACAATTGATGCTCAAAAGTGTTATGTTTCTGCAGGAAAGATAAAGTGCAGTTAAAAGTTTGATTCCTCCTAAACCAATGCAGTATTTGAGTATTTACTATTAGTGTTAGCACATATCTCAAAAATAAAACAAAAAAATAAAGAGGAAGCTGTGACTTCTAATTACAAGAACCACTTAGTAGTTAAGGAGAGCGCGGCAGTGTGGGAACCACCAGATACATAGTTAAATTAGCAGATAGGTACTGATCACAATACAAATTATTAATACTGTTCTATAAAGGATTGATTACCCTCTAACAATATATTACATATGTTATACAGGCAAAGTAATTTGTTTTTGTTTCTTTTTTTTATGATTATGATAATGCAAGAGCTCCCAACTCTTAGCATATCAAATGAAATACACTAAGACAGAAGAGTATTAGAAACCTTATCGGATGCTATGTTGACCCTTTCCTCTTAAGCTGTCAATTAAACAGGAAACTAACTGTCAGCGATCATTTTAAAACAAATCAGTTATTATTCTCCCAACATTAACAGGTTTAGGAGAATAACACCAAAGTTAATAAACTTACTACTACTAATTAAAAATAAAGAAGAATAAGAAGCTCAATGACAAGCTTATAACTTACCTTTGATTTTAGAGCCAAGAGTTAATTTCTTCATACCTTCCTGCACTTCAACAAGGTCTTTAGAGGAAGTTTGCAAAGTATCAGAAACAAATTCATGTGACCCTTGGCTCTTTTCAGTTTTTTCTAACATAAAAGAAAAAATAAGAAAACGAAAATGAAATAAGATATGGTTCCAGCTAGAAAATTTTAAAAGCTTAATTTGCAAAAGGATATAAATCAGTTATTACTTAAAACATTAAGGGCAGCAAGTACCGAAAATGATATGGTTTTCATGGCTGACATTATCTGAAGAGAGCTCCATATTCGAGCGATAATGGTAGCGCAGAATTGGCTTTTCTCCTTCGCTAAATCCTCCGATGGAATCGTTTATCCGTCGTTTCGTCAACTGCTGTAATTGGCATCCTCAGGGAACATCGTGACGGCTTATAAACACTGCTGTGCCGAATGATTTTACGCCCTCACCACGTTACCCAATGATACTAATAACACCAGCTGATAAGAAAATGTCAGATAAATGACTCCAATGGTGAACTCACTGAAGGATCATCTATTCTGGACCAGCGCCGTCAAACCGGACTATACAGCTCTCTTCGAAGTACAATTATTTTTTGCTTTAGGTAGAATATTACTATATGTTTAATAAATTTTTGACAGTGACAAAATACAAAAAATTTCTTTAGTCTTTGATGTGTTCAGAAAAATTCTGTTTCGACTATTGCAAACAAGGAAAAAATTAAATTTGATAACTTCGTTACAAATACCTATTGGTTGCCCAGAAGTAACGGTTTCAGTACCGGGCTGATTTTCACCTTCTCTAGACATCATATTCAATTCATTAGCCTGACAAGTTAAACTAACACGATAGAAGTAGTTCCTCCAAAAGTTTTCTTCACTGATTCTGTATAAGAGAATTTATGTAAATAAATAAACAAACGAAATGCATTGTATGACATAAGATACATACACTTTAGGCACAAGTTCAAAGCGCATTTTTTCCAAATTCGGATCCTGCTCCATAATGGCCATAGCAACAGGATAAGAGATATCATAGTCAAAGTGAAAATCAACACCTGCTGGTGGACTACGAAG